CAAACGGTTTCATATTTGCTTTAATAATGATAAAACACCTTCATGGAGAATTTTGTCGTGGCATCAATAAAAAAAATACCAATTGATTTACTGAACAGTTTTTAAAAGAGATAGAGTGCTGCATTAAAATCATTTTTAAAACCAGATACTTTCTGATTTTCTCGTCAGACTTTAAAAGGTTTTTAAAACAGCATAAAGCTGAACAACTAATCAAGAATGCTTTGCACTGTTTAATGCTGTATTTAAACTAAAAAGATTGCTTATTGCTGTTATAAAACCACAAAAAATCACAGTGAAAGCCAAACGACTGTTAAATTGTTACTTGGGCAGTAAATCATGCTATGTACGGGAAATGGCTCTAATGTTGGCCTATGGATCTAAGATTGGGCCCATAGCTAAAAATCTGCTATTTATCAATTTTATCTAGATGAACGCGGCATTGGAACGATACTAATGGATGTTTTTGGTTGCTATTGAAAATGTAGTCGTTTGCTGAATTTATGTATGGGCCCAAATTAGGGGCATTTAGGCCGACATTACATCCACTTCCCCTATAAAGAAAGCACACATCAATACATATGCGCAAGCCGGCAGCCCACGTAGGTGAAGAAGAGAACGTTTGCCTAAAGATTAAGAAGCAGGTCGTCTTTGTCATTGTCATTCGCTTGCTTTGGCTTGCACAGGAAGTCTTCATACTTAAGCCCGGCTTAGACTATTAAATTCGGCGTTCAACTCTCGTGCGAAATAAACGACTGGGAAGTTGGTTGATTTTCAACTTTCTGTATTCGCTTGCAAGCCACTTGGACGCAGAGATGCCAGATTTGTGAAAAATGTCTGTGATCTGTGAAAAATGTCTGTGAATTTCAAAAAAATCGATGCGAAATTTGAAAGGTCTGAAAAGTAATGTTCGTGCAAAAATCACCTGCTTTTTTCGAATTGAACCTAATTGGAGTTGAAAATGCATCCATTTACGCCGTATACGTTAAAAGCATTTAATAAAAAAGATAAATTACGATTACACGACAAATGAGGTCACCTCAAAGTTTAGATTAGTTCACTCACATTCTTGAAAACGTAGTTAACTCATGGGCTGAGTTAAACTTTCCGAGCTTTTACAGGAATTTGTTTTCTAATATGAGCATCATCTCGATGTACATACGGAATAAGTACACGGAAAAAAGCTTTCATGTAGTTTCTATTGGGAATGCACACCATATTTTTCCATTAACAAAACCAATGCTATATTATATGAATTTCACATAACATTCATGTGACATTAGTTCTTTATAATAAATCATCGACGCAAAGCAAATCATGTAAAAAAAATCATTTCAATTTTATTTAACATATAAAGTTAATGTGTTTTAGTGGTTCAGTTCCAATCATGAAAGCACATGAATGTTATGTGAAATTCTTATGAATATTTTCCATTGTATATGTGAATAATTCTTTGCGTGTATAGTATACTTCTACTGTGTTACCTAACGAATATACGTTTTTTTGTTTTTTCCTTGATGTCTTTTCCGTTCTGAGCATCAATGCAACTGACGCCAGGGAGGCAGCTCTCACATCTGGGCCCTCATCTCATGAACCGGGGACCAACAGGTTTACTTCCCTTCCGAAGGAAGGCGTGATCAGAGATGTTATGCCTCAGAACATCCCGGCGTACAGTGGTGCTAAGGGTATCAAAACACGCGCTTTTTTATTTACGCTGAAATGGTTGATTAAAGTTACTAAAAGTCTTCTGCGAAGTTTCTCGGGTCACGACACTCCTTCTTATGGTACAAGAAAATTAAAGATTAATCCACCTAAAAGTGAGATGCATTTTTTTTAATATGATGAGATACAACATAATTGTGTTCAGCAAAGCTGTAGAAAATATTACTGTGAACAACTTTGCTGAAGACTTTAACTTTCAATCTTTTATAACTGCTGAGACATAAAGGTTTTTTTTTGTGGAGACATCGTTAAAATCAGTTTTGTATCTGTAACTTTTTCTACAACATTTCTACATGTTTGGCATGTTCTGCAAAGATGTTGCCAAAAGTTGCGAGCATCCCCGGAGCACACCTCAATATTTTTCGGTAGATCTCTCATGTTGGAAATTAACGGATCGCAGGATTCCAGGAGATGGTGAAGAAGATCTGGTTTCTTCACAATTTTATTGAATTTTCTTGTACTTTCAATTGCTTAAAAAATGACCTTGGCACCACTGCAGCGACTGAGATTGAACTCAGGGTGGGGTGGGGTGAGAGGTAATCACGCTTACCACTACACCACTGGCGTTGCTGAATACGGTGTACTCCGAATACAACGTATAGTTCGTCTAATTTTACATTGCAAATGCTATACGTTGTATTCGTGGTCATGCCTCGTATTCGGGGTACTCGTATACAACGTATATTCGTTATAAGTCAGTAGAATGAGTAAATTTTACTCAGTCTTCAAGTAAACTAAGTTTTCTAGAGTTTGAGTAATTTAAACTTTAATTTGAGTCGATCTTATATGCCATGTAGTCTGGAAATCCATCAGATACTTAGTACTGGTTCTTTTGCATGCCATCAGCGAGGGAACGAGCACATCTTAGTGAGAGATTCAACTTTCCACCATCTAAATATGGAGAAATCGACAATCATAAGAGCAATTTATAAGCTTATTAATAAGATTCTAAACACTTCGTGCTCAATCATTTTCGGTTTGCTGAAACGATTCAGATAGGAAGGAGTATCGAAAAAAAGATCATCGAGCAATGGAGAGTACTGTACAACGAAGCCAAGTACGATGCATCGGCGCTAAACACTAACACTGTTGTAACGGTTTTACAAATACAGTTTTAAAATAAGATATATCAAGCAACATATCCATTACATTTTGCAAAATATTACACAATTAAATTACACAGCTGGGGGAGAAAAACTTGGCTAAATACAACACAGTTTGCTGTTACCAAGGTTGCAAAGACTCATTTCAGCTAAAATAATGTTTTTCGGAATAATAAAACCAAAAGATGGTATGATGGCATGTTTTACTTGTAACTTACAAGAAGAGGTTACAAAGTATGCGTTGGAAACATAAAACCTGTAAATTTTGCTTTCTATGAGTCACAATCAGCGATTTGCTGATCGCTGAGTGAGTGAGTGAGTTTGTGAAAAATCGCTGATTGTGACTCTCATGAAGTGAAATAAACAGGTTTAATATGTCAAACACATTCTTTGCAACCCCTTATTGTATCTTACCAATTCAAAATTTGATCATGGCATCTAATTATTTCATAATTTAGAAAAACATTGTTTTAGCTGAAATGAGTCTTTGCAACCTTGGCTGTTACCAACCTTTTTGCCTTTCTCGTACACAGAGTTGTACCGAAAGGCTTGATATCACTTGAAAAACACAATTTCGTTCCAAGTCGGTCAACCGGTAGATGCTAAACTCAGCATGGTGGATCTAGGAGTTTGTGATTTATTGCTTCATCAGGGACAATGTATGACTAGATTTCATCGTATTAAGGATAATAAAGCCGAAAATAAAACCGATTTACGCATCACAACTATAGAAAACAACTGCAAAATCCCCCTTTCAAATTAATTTTCCAAAAATTAAATCCTGGATTTGCGTAGTTTTAATCCAACACTCTTCCTGAAACACAAGTATGTTCGAGAATATAGGTACATGAAGAAGCTTTTTTTTTTTTTTCCTTGATTTGTTTTTCCGTCGATCTTGTTTTCCGTGCTGAGCACCAATCCGACGCCAGAGAGGCAGCTCCCACACCTGGACCCTACCTATCGACCCATCAACTCATGAACCGGGGACCAACGGCTTTACTTCCCATCCGAAGGAAGGCGTGATCAGAGATGTTATGCCTCAGAACATCCCGGCGGCGCTGACTGGGATTGAACCCAGGCCTGCTGGGGTGAGAGGCAATCACGCTTACCACTACACCACCGGCGCCGCTATGAAGAAGCTTTGTTCCTACATTAGTATAGCGTTCGCCAACGTGCAGCTGGCGAAGTATAAGAGACACATTCAATCGTTTCCATCGCATGCAGCCAGCAAGCCGTGCCGTTGGCGAACGCTGCTTGAATAAACATTGTAGTCTATGAATTCATACATCTCAAATATATAAAATTATATGTCTGACAAACTTTCACCTTTGATTGATGATGATTGGTACATTTAAGAAAGTAAATGACTTTTTTTCTAATGCTTGCTACTTTTCGAGAAACCGGATTATGAAAATCATGGTAATTTTCACTATTTTGGCTAATATTTCGCTTGTATCGCCCCAAAACATTGGAAGCTCTTCCTTAAAACTTACAAATTATCCTTAATTACTCCTACGTTTTAAATTAAGGATTTGCCATTTGTATGGAAAATAGTACAAAAAAAAGGTAATTTCAGTTAAATTTTACAATATTCACTACATCTTTGTTATTTGAAGACTTAGAACTTTGAGTTCTATGGCATTTTTTATATTATTTAATGTTCTACAACTTTGCCCAAGCCACAAACCTCTATCATGCGAGTAATAATAATAAGTATAATAATAAGTAAGTTAGTATCGCAGCACCATCTATGCGGATACAATTGGAACTAATTTCCGTTACCAGATGAAGGCGCATGTTAATCCGAGAAACTTTACCAAAGACACCATTTTAATATAATGCAAACCCAATGCGCTAAAGGTTTGTCTAGCAAATTTCGGTTCCTGACCCAGTGTGATTGTTGCATGAAGTGCCGTATCACCTTAACGCCGACCAAAGTAGAAATATTTAATATAAAATAATATTTAATGAAAAAAAAAAAATGTCTGTCCAACGAAGCAGTATGTAAAATCAAACGTTCCTAAATGTAAGTGAATAATCTAGTATCCGGTGCATTACGGTACAAATATTGTAGTTCTAGAGGACATTTACGTTTTGAAAATTGTTCGGAGTTAGTCTTAAAATTAAATGGTCATTATGAAATCAGTTATTTACCAAACATATTATGAAACAACTTACACGTAAGGATTGGGATTCGGAACGTCATCCGACTGATCCTCCCACACCGGTGCCGGATCCCGGAAAGGTGGCTGGGGCACTGGTACAGGTGTTGTGGTGGGCGGCACTATGGGACCGGTATTCGTATTCCAGTACACCCGTATGGCACCGGTCTGTGTCGCTGAGAAGGCTATCAGTAACCCTATCAGACCCTGTTGGCAGAGGTAGAGAATAAGAGGTTTAGGAGATTAGCGATAATTGCATAATATTAGTTTGAACTTTGGTTAATGACTTCATCGCGGCGGCTGCCGCCATCGTCGAAGATCTCCATTGATGCTTGCGAAAGGTTGAAAATGATTAATGATGCATAAAACAATCAATCCGTATGGGTGTTAACTGAGCTGTCATATTACGAAGCAGCAGGTTTGGACGTTCACGATTAGCAGCATTTTGGAATATGTCAATAAAGCGAAACTGTTAATGATAAATCGTACTAATGAAACCATTGTTCCACCTACTTGAACTAATCAACATTTCTCAATTCAAGCACTAATTAAATTATTTTACGAACCAACAGACGAGAGCCAAAAAAAAATCAAAACAATAAACATATGTACTAACCCTACCGCATGGACTCCCATTAAACCTGTCCAAATTGGCCAACATTCTGTGCGAACTTATGCTCACGCACACGCCCCTTCGCTGAAGACATTAGTCGAATGGTTTTATTTTTTTTATTACAATGCAGGGCAGAAGAATTCGCAACCGGCTTCAGAAAATCAATGGGGTTCCATAATGTTTTTTTTTTTAGTAGCTGCTACTGCTGCTACGCGTGGTAGATTAGGTGTGTGTTTTGTGTTATTATGCTCCGTATTATATCGGCCTGGGTATGCTCTCATGGTTAGGCAAACCGAATTGCTTCTGCTGTTTACGCTGTACCAAACAGCTGACGTATAAAAACTAGCTTGCTACCGACAGGCACTATCAGTTTGCAATTGTTTCGATTCTGGTGCAGTCAGTGAAAGTCGTCCGAAAATGCTGAAAGTGAGTGTGTTTCTTGAAGGGATTCTAGGAAGGTTCTTAAGAATTTGGTGATTTTCTGTTTGCAGATTGTTCTAATCGCTTGCTTGGTCGTGGTGGCCGTCTCGGCGCAGTACTTTGGTGGTGAAGAATCTGGTGGATTGGGAGAGGAAGGTGGCCACGGTGGGGGTGAGGAACACCAGGATTACTACGCCTATCCAAAGTACAAGTTCGAATACGGCGTGAATGATCACAAAACCGGTGACCACAAGAGCCACTGGGAAATTCGTGACGGTGATGTTGTGAAGGGTCAGTACTCCCTCCATGAAGCCGACGGTACGGAACGTGTGGTCGAATACAAATCGGACAAGCACTCTGGATTCGAAGCTCACGTCAAGCGGGTCGGTCACGGACAGCATCCGCAGCTGTACGGGGAACATCACGAGGAAAGCCACGGAAGCATCGGTGATTACGAGCACGATCATGCCTTCAGCTACAACAACCAACAGCATCATCATCTGTAAGCACGGTGATGGGTATGGTTGAATCCTGAAAGCAGCCATATGAACTTACATGTTCGAACTATTCGAGACTGAAACCAAAACGAATACTCTTTACGATAATATGTGCCTAAAACGATCTGCGCGCTACTGGTGCGCAGAAAAATCAGCATCTACCTATCTGTTTCAGCTGTCAACTGTTTTTTAGTTTTTAAAACCCCTCAATAAAATGTGATTTGAAAAGCCATTGGTGTGTTTGAACTGCCCTTGGGATTGCGACAGCTGCGCAGAGATTCAAACCAATTCAAAACTCTTACGGAAGCTGTTGAAATTAAAAAAAAAACTGTAGAATTCGCAAAAAAAAACTGTAAGAGTGTAACGAAACAACTTACTTGCCGTCTAGTCATCCACGCAACAGCTTGGTAATGTTGAAGCTTAAGCATGCCTATTATTCTAAAAATCATAATTTCTGACTCCGAGTCATGAAGAGTTCCGTTTCATCAATGCTGTATGGTAATTAGCAGCACCTACTTTGCACGTTAGATTGTTTAAAAGCACCCTTGGAGAAATCCAATTTCAAAAATTACTGCTCTCTGAATTTGGATGCTTATGCATGCTCTCAACTTAGTGTTCCTGGAAGCACTTTTTTTTTAGATTTCTTTTCCGTCGATCTTGTTTTCTGTTCTGAGAGCCAATGCTTTTGACGCCAGGGAGGCAGCTCCCACACCTGGATCCTACCTATCGATTCATTGACCGGGGACCAACGGCTTTACTTCCTTTCCGAAACAAGGCATAATCAGAGATTTTATGCCTCCTAAAATTCCGATGGCACCGACTGGGATTGAATCCAGGCCTTTTGGTGTGAGAGGCGGTCACGTCAGCACCCCTTCTTGGCAAAAAATTTCAGTTATTATTTAAGAGTTTTTCATGACAACCAATGCATGAATTTGTGTAATGATTGACCATCCCAAGTAGCCAAAAGTTCCGCATTGAACGATAAAACTCCCTTCCAAGTTCCATAAAGTTCAATTAAACTTTCGAAAGAACTTTCAAGTAACAGTAACAGAACTTTCTTCCCTAGCAACAAAAAGTTCCGCATTCAACGATAAAACCCTTTTCCAAATTCTATAAAGTGCATTTAAAGTTCCAATACAACTTTCTGTCTGCTTTAGAAGCTAGAGGCTACAGGTCCGAAAAGTTCCAATGCGTACTCCTTGCAAATTGAAGTTAAAAAAAAAGTTCCAAATAGCATCCCTAAGCACTTCTTAGAAACTTCAGGCAAGGCTGAAAACATGGACACAAGAAAGCTCCGAACAAGTTCCCATCGGAACTTCTTAGCAACTTTAAAAAATCTTAAAAGTTCCCTGCGGAACTTCTTAGCAAATTGAAAGTTTCTATAAAGGTTCGTCATAGCCCACATGAAGCAATCCAAACAACTCTTTTTTTAGGAACAAAAACTTATGTAAGTAAATATGAAATGATCAGTGGATCAAATAAATCATAATTTTTATATTTATACAGTACATCAATATTCCATCTAGACATAAAAAAATTGGATTATAACCCGTGAATTTGGCATGCAATATACGATCGCCAACCACTCTGCTACAAGTTTGCTAGAATTCTATGCGGGCAAACACCAATTTAAAGTTTGAACTGAAAACTCCAACAGTAGGCGGGACAACAGCTCACTTTAATATATCTCAGATGGCGTAAGCTTGTTCGTGCTGATAAATCAATACAAGTCCATACCTGGCTTTAGAAATAATTTCCAAAAGACCTGACTTCAGAATTAACTTTCATAAAAGTGCGAGCTAAATATAAAATTGATGTAAAGGACAAAACCTTTATTAACATATTTTCTAATTGCCGTTCAAGTTCCACCAGAAGCTGCTTAGAATGCTCTTCAATTATGGTAGCGGAACTTTCAAGTTCTTATAACGATTTATAAATGAGGCTGCTTAGAATACTATAGCCAACCTTCAACCAAGCTGCTTACGCCACAAATAGCCTTTTATGAGAACATTTGGTTTCTTAGGATGACCATACTAAACGGTCGCATTACTATAAGTTAAAGCGTTGAAAATCCATGAAAAAGAAGCAAAGTGTCATAATATTTTATATGATTCTGAAATAGTTACGTCACCTATGTGATCAGAATAAGTATCTATAGTCACCTTATATAACTCGACAGAATATCCAGTCTTTAGTATAACCAATCTAATCTAGATGTTGGTCTCATCCAAACCGGCCACAGGCTCTTGGGAAGTTAGTTTTGAAATTATAGTCGTTTTGAAGTCTTTAAAACGAATCTCCTGTCCTAAGAACAGTAAAAAATGCACCCATAGAGTAAAATGGTCCACAGTGATTGTTCATCACTTACCTACCATTCAGAATGCTGAACGATTGTATGCAGCCGTATTAATTCACATGCTGCTCGTTAGATTCCTGAATTAAGAAAAATTTTGTAGCTGCACCAGTACCGGCTATGCTAAGGGTATCTCCATCGCCATACGTTGTGGGCTAGTACAGACATCAAAAACAGAGGTGAGTACCTTTTATACTTTATCTCAAAGCATGAAATAGAATTATGTAATAAGGGGGTTGATCCAACTTTTATAAATGCAGTCTTTCTATTTCTGATAAAATTAAGAATTGGCATGTATCGGGCGAAGAATCTTTGTCTGATCACAACCAAAATCGTATTTGATTATGACGTAAATCAACAGCTGATTGATAACGGTGCCGGTGGTGTAGTGGTAAGCGTGATTACCTCTCACCCCAGCAGGCCTGGGTTCAATCCCAGTCAGCGCCGCCGGGATGTTCTGAGGAATAACATCTCTGATCACGCCTTTCTTCGGATGGGAAGTAAAGCCGTTGGTCCCCGGTTCATGAGTTGATGGGTCGATAGGTAGGGTCCAGGTGTGGGAGCTGCCTTCCTGGCACGTCGGTAGCATTGGTGCTCAGCACGGAAAACAAGATCGACGAAAAAAACAAACCAAAGGAAAAAAAAAACAGCTCATTGAAAACATAAGAGATCCCAGGAAAATTGACTGGGAGCAGTCTATATCAAAACTTATAGTTGGAGTAAACAGCTTGAGAGGATGTTCTAAAAAATACATTTTTTTTTCCTTGATTTGATTTCCGTCGATCTTGTTTTCCGTGCTGAGCACCAATGCTACTGACGCCAGGGAGGCTCCCACACCAGGACCCTATCTATCGACTCATCAACTCATGAATCGGGGACCAACGGCTTTACTTCCCTACCGTAGGAAGGCGTGATAAGAGATGTTATGCCTAAGAACATCCCGACGGCACCGACTGGGATTGAACCCAGGCCTGCTGGGGTGAGAGGTAATCACGCTAACCACTAAACCACCAGCGCCGCTAAAAACATACATTGAACTTGAGAACAATTATCAACAGCTCTCTGGCTTAATGCAACAGGTTTATTACGATAGCTGTCCTGCAAAGGAACGTTCTACCAATAGAGATGTACCTTGGTGGAATAAAACCTTACAGAAACTTCGAAAGAAAGCCCGAAAACTATTACAACGGGCAAAAATAATAAAGCAATGGGATCAATATAGAGAAACCCTTACAGCTTTTAATCGGGAAATTAGAAGATCAAAAAGAAAGGATTGGAGGCATACATTGAAAACATTGAAAATACTCCAATTGCTGCTAGATTGTAGAAAGTTCTTTCAAAAGATCATTCAAATGAAAGAGGATGGCACGTTTACTGGAGGAAACGTTAGAGATAATGATGAAAATACACTTCCATGTTCAACTTCTAACATAAATGAAGACCATAATATATATGCAGCAAAAACTGTCTCTGGAAAAACCAGGACGTATGTTCAGGAAACAATGGAACAAATGCTCTTTCGATAAGTAAAAAAAAAACTTTTTGTAGGAAATGGGGACTAAAACCTAAAATGATCCACTGGTTTTATTTGACAATCTTAAGACCCAGAATAACCTTTGCATCGTTGGTTTGGTGGTCTAAAACCAATGAAAAATCAGCTCAGAAGAAGCTGGGGAGGCTGCAAAGACTAGCCACTCTCTCAATAAATGGTGCAATGAGAAGCACACCAAGTATAGCACTAGATGCTGCCGGCGCCGGTGGTGTAGTGGTAAGCGTGACTGCTTTCTCACCCCAATGGGTCTGGGTTCAATCCCAGCCGAGGTCGGTGGGATTTTTCTGAGGCATAAAAATCTCTGGTCACGTCTTCCTTCGGAAGGGAAGTAAAGCCGTTGGTCCCGGCCCATGTGTGTTGTTGTGAATGGGTGCGATATCCTACGCAGGTGTGGAAGCTGCCTTCCTGCACATTCGGTTGTCGTCAATGGATGGCAATCGATGTCCGTCGGTGATTGGCACTAGATTGCGGAACAGAGACCGACGTTAAATAAAGGAAAAAAAAAAAAAAAGCACTAGGTGCTCTACTTTATCTGCTTCCGTTGCATCAATTTATTCAATTATATGCCGAAAGAAGTGCATCAAGGATCCGACGGTCACAGAACTTCCTTGAAGGTAATCTTAGAGGACATATGAGCATCCTAAAAATGTTCTATATTGATTCTCTTGTGATACAAAATGAAGATTGGATGAAGAAAAAATATCACTTCGATCGTCTTTACAATGTAGCAGATGCGAATCGCGATTTGGGGGACAATGGGGGACCATACATTCATCCAGGATCAATTGTCTTTTATACAGAAGACTCTCGATTGGATAATCTTGTAGGAGCAGAAGTCCACGTAATTCTTGATACGGTGATAGAAGAAATGCTTCACCAAACCCGAGCGTCTGTTCACCATGGAGGTGCGGCTCAAAACGGCGTCTATTATCCATGTTAGGAGCGGCTGATCACCGTCCTAGTGCCAGCGTGGGACTCTAAACAGAGCTGTGCACGATAGTCCTCCGGCGAGACAGGAGGCTGGGGCAGGCCCAACAAGCCGCCCTGAAAAAAAAACAAAGTTGCAAATACCGAAGAAAGAAATACGGATCGGAACAATCGGCACAGACC